GACCGGGGACCGGCAACGGGACTGCAACCCTCGGTGTTGCTCCCACGCCTCGCTCAGCCAGTGAGCGGGAACCGGTCTGTATGTGGGATCCGAACCCTCGGGCAGGAGCGCCGCCACGCTTCCCAAGCGGCGCACTATCCAGTGTGCCACCGGGCCGGCCCTCCAGCAAGGATTTTTAAAGGAAGAACGTGGGTTGGGGTTGGGGCTGGGTGAGTAGCTTGCGGATGTTTCTAACTGGCTGAATCTCATTAGACAATGGAATTGCTCCAGGACCCTGCCCACCAATCTTCTGGCTCCAGTCAGTCTGGTGTCCCTGTAGTCCACATGTGGTCTGCATCTTCACCTGGTGGGAAAACTTGGGTCTCGTTCTCAGTAAAAACATCTCAAGGACACATGTCAAGACAGTGTCTAGTGGCTCCCTCCTGACTGCTGAGTCTGCACCCTGTGTGCTCAGCTGCTGCTTTGTACTCCTTGCCTTGATTACTAGCTGTAAAAGTCAGCTCCCCCATTGCTAGCTGGAGAGCCCAGTTCCCAGATTTTAAATCACTCTAATTTGGGGAACCAAGACCACAGCTTACTTTCATTTAAATTTTTGAGGGGTTTTATTGGGGAGGAGTACCTGTTCGGTTTCATCATTACCACCTTTAAACTGTATACCAGCTTCAGCGACTTTTGTTTGTCCTCCAGCACACTGGAATAGACCAGGGAGAGCAAGATAAAGGTACCTCATCAGGACCCCTAATGTTGTTTCTCCTTGGTGGGCCACAGTTACCACACCCAAAATGAGGATATGCACTTGGGCATAGCAATCTCCAAGATCAGCCTCAAACAGGGATTATGCAATCCAGGAGGCTCCGGGTAGGTTGAGTTCTTGCTTCCAAGAAGGTCCCTTTTGACCCATTCCCTCATAAACTGATAGGCCTGCAAGAAAATTTGGCGACCATCAGACCTGCTCAGTGATGAAATGAGAAAGCCGCCAGGACACAGCCAGACACCAAATATTCTCTTTTTTTTTTTTTTTTTTTCCATTTTTTTCTTTTTTTTTTTTTTTTCCATTTTTGTCTTTTTTTTTTTCGTGTC